GCCCCCCGGAGGGCGCAGGCGCCGGCAGCCCGTCCTCCGTCTGCGCGTGCGCGGCGGCGGCGGTGGCGCAGCGCCCCCCGGAGGGCAGAGAGGCGAGATCGGGGACGAGGCTTCTCGGCTGAGTGTGCGTCTGCGCGGCGGCGACAGCGCGGCTACAGCGCCCCCTGGAGGCCGGAGGAGCGAGGGCAGGCTCGTCTGCGCGTGCGCCGCGGGCTCGGAGCCGGTCCTGCTCCGCGTCTGGGCTGGGTTTCTGCGCCGCAGTCGGAACCGCGGCCCAGGAAAGCCCCGGCGCTGGAGCCGCGTCCGGGCCGGGGATGTGGCTCGGTGGCGCAGCGCCTGCCTAGCAAGCGCGAGGCCCTGAGTTCGATTCCCGGTACCAAAAAAAAAAAATAGTGAAAATAAGACCAAAAAAAGTCCTTTAAAAAAAAAAACAAAACCTTTTGTGTAAAACGGATCACAAGTTAGATTTTTTTTCACAGACATTTCTAAGAGGATACGCTATGTAGACTTCCTTCTCTCCAGCCCTGAAATATTTCTGGAATTGGGTTATGTACCAAAAGTGAACTTTGTTTATCTTTCATTCAATATGTATTTTTGTTCTGCTTTGGCTATTTATTTATCGGGCTTTCTTTTTTCTTTCTTTTCATTCATTCTTTCTTTTTTTTTTTAAGAGATAGGGTCTCACTATGTAGACCCGTAGACCCGGCTGGCCTCGAACTCCCTGCGATCCTCCTGCCTCAGCCTCTCTGGTGCTGAGATTACAGGCAAGCGCCACTGCCGGCTCAGGGTGAGTTTATTACGCACCAGTCCGCCAAATAATGGACCCGAGTCCCGAGGTCGCCCCCGGCCCATCCTGGCCTGTGCAGCCCGAGGAGCGTTGCAGAGCCAGGCGCCCACCCGCGTGGACACCCGTTGGAGGCGCTGTCTGCGTCTACTTTGCGGGTTGGTGCATTAGATACTGTATGTGCTTCCGCGACAGGGAAAACCAAAGGCCAAGCCGAAATGCACGGTGCAGCGCCCGGCCCGACCTGGTGCTCAGCGTCCCGTGTCCAGCATAAACGGGCGTGGTCGCCACTCCTGGGAGCCATGGGGACACGCACCTGCCAACCCCTGCATCCAGAAGCTGAATCAGTCACCATAGCAACCTTGGCCAGATCAGGGAACAGGAAACCAGAGGACCCTGCCACACCACCCAGCTGTTCACAGTACAGTGAGGTGAACCCCTGACACTCTGAGCTGGAACAAGTACTTGTGACTGACCAAAAGCTGAGGGACATGGGACCTGGGCCAGGCAGAGCTCCAGGGTCAGAAATGTCGCGGGATCCGACCCTGGCAAGGCAAGAGGGCAGTAAGTGCCCTGAGATGGCCCGAAGGCCAGGTCAAGAAGCAGGGCGTGGTGGCCAGCACTCGGGAGGCTGACGCAAGAGGGTCTCAACTTCACACCCAGCCCAGGCAGCTTGATGACTTGGTGAGATCCTGACTCATAACTAAAATTTAAGCTGGGGGTGGGGGCTGGTGAGATGGCTCAGTGGTCTAAAGCACCTATCTGGAACAAGCTAAGCTAAAGCACAGGGACCTCGGTTCAATCCCCCAGCACCACATGCCAGCCCGCCCCGCCCCCTGGTGGGCTGAGCTGGCCACACACACACACACACACACACACACAAATAAATAAATTAAAAAAAAATTTAAGCTGGGTATGGAAGTGCATGTGCTGATATTAAATGATTACTTAAAAAGAGCTGAAGAAGGGCTGGGGAGATGGCTCAGTAGAATAAACGCTTCAGTTCAATCCTTGGCTCCACCAAAAACAAAACAAAACAAAAAAGCTGAAGATACAGCCCAGTGATAGAGAACTTGGGTAGCATGCATGATAAAAAGAATAATAAC